CCCCCCCCCCCCCGATTCGAGGGTGTTTTCAAGCCAGACTTTCTGCCAAGCTGGTGGTTGGTTGCCAGCTCCCCCAGGACAACCCATGGGGTGTAAATAACTCTCGTTTGTTGGCCCTGGCTCCAACAGGTGCCCGTGGCCAGTGGGTTTCCATGGCCCTCAGCACAGACATGGGCCGATCATGCCGGTGATGCCGTGCTTGCAGCGGGCACAGCGCCCTCAGGGAGACGTGGCTGGGGCCCATGCACGTGGCCCTGACGCAGCCGAGAGTGGCTGAGTCCTGTAGCAGCGTTTACGTTAAAGTGTAGGGAGGTGATGAACCCATCCAGATCTCAGCATCACCCCTTCTCCCAGCGGCACCTGGCTCAGACCTGCCCCAAGCTCAAAGCAAGGTCTGCACCCTCTCTCACCTCGCTGTCTGCCTTTGGAGATGTAGAGCCTGCCCAGGTTCAAGGGCATTAGGAGTGGCTGCTGTGGCTTGTCTCAAGCAGCTCTTGACCAGGCACAGGTACAGAGATTTGTGTTCCCCAGCTGCAGACAAAATGAGTTTTCACCACTGAGGCAAAAAGCAAACTCTCCCCACCTGGAGAGATACTTTTCCCTGGAACTTAGTGTAATTAAAAAATAACAACACAGGGATTTCTCCAAAGACTAAACACTTGCTCGCATGCCAAGAAAAACAAACCAGATGACCTTTTAAATAATGTTGCCTGCTGTCATCTGTGGTAGCACAGAAAACGTGCACTTGAGCTCAGAGATATTGAAGAAGCGTGGGAACAACCCCAGTCCTCGCAGCTCACAGGTTTTCTTTGGTCATGTTCATGCAGGTGGTAAAAGATGAGTTTCTGTAAATGCCAGGACAAGGAGACAGTACCCACTGTGACGGCAGTGACGTACATGTCATGGAAAAATGGATGCTGGGATCTAAGCAATCTCAAGTCAGAACAGCCAAAACTGCCTCTCTTTAACTCAAGAGTGATGATGGGAAAATGGAAATTTGAAACATTTCCAGCTATTAAGTGCTTTTGCATTTATTTTTGGCCAATGAGATGTTCAGCTTGTGTGTGGGGGTTGTGTTCTGTAACTTTTCCAGGAAAATAAGCATGAGGAGAAGGTCCAGGATCCTGACAGAGGGGAGGACGACACCAAGGCAGAGATGGGGAGCAAAACCTGGGCAGACCTGGCTAGAGAGATGAAGATGTTCCTGTGGAACCCAGAGGAGAGAACATGCCTGGGGAGAACAGCCAAGAGCTGGGGTAGGTCCTTGCTTGAGTCCTGCTTTCAGGGATCATTGCCTTTTTTGCTTCATGGTGGATGCACTTGCCTGTGAATGTCTGTAATAGCTTGGACTGACTGCCCCTAGCCTACGTTTTCAGGATAGATGTTTCTAACCAGAGCAGTAAAGGACTAGTAAGGAGGACAAGCAGAAAACCTTGGAAAAGTTACCCTTGGTCTGGATGTTAATGTTTACTGAGAATGTGAAAGCAAAGATTTTGGGCTGCCCAGACCATGTACTGGGAAGAAATTAGGAGCCCAAGCAAGCACGAGGGTTGCAGGTCGGTCTGCCACAGACACACACCTCTGCTGTTACCAGTGAACCCGCTCCTGTAAGTCAGGAGCCCATGGGGAGGTGGGGTTGTCAGTGTTGGTGGGGGAAGAGCGCCCGAGTTGTGGGGCAGACGTTTTGGGGAGGGTGCACACTGCGGGGCCGAGCAGCCCACTTTGCTTGCGTGTGCTCTGGCTCTGGGGAGGGAAGGGCTGGTCATCACTCACCTTGCAGCTTCCCAGGGCATGACATGGTGCCCACAGCAGAGCCTCTGTGTGCTACCACAGTGGGCCAATGGGCTGGGATGTGCCAGGGGGGGTTCTGAGCACCCTGTCTGTTTTATCTGTATTCACATGGCCTTCAAAAATTATTTCAGAGCCTGGAGATGCCCTGGGTGGTTAAGTGCAGCCTGTGGCTGCGGGGTGGGCACTGCTTCAGGCTCAGTCCAAGACCAAGGTGCCACAGCACACATGATGCCATGGAGCCTTTGCAGCACTGTTCTCCTGACAGCACATAGACACCACAGTGGAGTGAAAGTCCCCAACCTTAGAGCAGTATCATGTGCACATCCTCACTGGTGTAAGGCCACAGATTCTCAGGGGCTGCTGCTCAGGGTTTGCCGTCCTCGGCAGCTGGCACTGGCAACATACTTACAAGCCCCGCAGCCTGCCTGTGACCCCACCAAGTGCTCTGGGTCTCCTGCAAAGCCTGTGGGGACAGGGAGGAGAAACAAAGCAAACTGCTCATGAGCACTGGAGGAGTCTGAAAACCCTCAAGCACGAGTCTGGGGCAGGCCTCGAAATCTGCATTTGCCCTTCTGTGCCCTTTGCCAGCCCTGGAAGCAGCCCAGGTTTGCTGCTCTTTTGCTGGATGGGAAGGTGCAGGCTGAAGTGTGGGAGCAGTATGGGGGTGACAGTCCTTAGCAACGTGGGTTTGGGGTTCTGGAGGCTCTGCTAGGTGCTGAGAAAAGCCCTGTGAGAGGACTTGCTCAGGCTCGTGTGGATGTGGCCCTGGGTGGTTACTGCTGGAAGTTATTTATATACAGCCTCGGGGAGGGTACAGTGTTCTGTGCCCTGGGAGCATCCTGGTGTGTTACACAGCCCTGCTGCCCTAAGGACATACACACCCTTGGCTGCACACGTGTGTGCTCACATGTCCTACAGGGGGACAGGAAAGAGGCAGCAAAGCTACTGTGAAAATTATTTTTTTTTCTATAATTAGAGCATTTAGAGGTGAATGGAGCTGAATTTTCCTGCTCTCATCTCACAGGTGAGGAGGAGGGAGTTCATCCAGCCTGGGGCTGCTCCTCCATGCTGGCCCTGAAGGTGGTCCCCAGGGACAGGGGGCTCAGGACTCATGCTGCCAAAATACAGGGAGCCAGCTGGCCACAGGGTCAGCACTGGAGGCCCCAGCCCTTGGGAATGGCTGCACCCCCCTGCGTTGCTGGTGACAACGCTTCCTGCTGTGCTGCAGGAAACATAAGAACAGGAACAGTAGCAGCATCGTGTCCCAGCATGCACCGACTCAGCACCCCAGCAGCAGCTCCAGCCCCGCCAGGCTGGTGCAGAGGCACTGTCCCAGCAGCCTTGTGACAGGGCTGGACATTGTCCCCGCTATGCCATCAGCAGCAGTGATGGTCCCATCCGCCCCAGCTCGTCCCGCAGCAGGACAGGGACCCACAGTGGTTCCCAGCATCATGGCCCTGACAGAAGCACGGCAGGAGCGCACATCTGCGTTCCCAGGGCTCCCTCCGAGCTGCCGGCATGTTTCTCCTGGGAAATGTTTGGGTTAGGGCTTCACTTTGCTTTCTGAGTTGCTGCTTTTTTTTCATAGGCTGTGGCCTCTTGAGACATCCTCAGCCATCAGCCTGGTCCAGAGGAAAAACAAACCCATTCCCTGGACGTCAGGGCTATGAAACAGCCAGTGGTGCCACAGCCCCCAGCGATGCCGAGCCCCCAGCTCGCTACAGTCCCAGGGCTGGGGTCCCTGCCACGCAGGCGACGGGACCCAGGGCAGGAGCATCACCCCACAGCCCCCAGCGGGAATTCGTATGTGCTGAAGCCACTGGGTGCTCTTGCCATGCCTAGAGGGGGTGGGAAATGCAAGAGCCAAGGTCAGGTCTGTCTGTCGGAGAGAGAGGAGGCAGGTGGACACATGGATCTGGTCCTGACCCAGCTCTAGGAAGGGCTGTTACCAAAAACAGTACTGAGAACATATCAACACCAATGTGATGTAGATAAGCAGACACTCCTTTATTAGCAGCGCTGGGTGAGGAGGGGAATTGTCTCACGTAACTTGTGTAACATGCAGATTATATAGGATACAATAATAAATATTAATCAAGTGCTCATACATAAACATGCTAATTCCTGTAAATCACTTTAATATCCAGCCTCTTCCCAGTTATGTGCACTGGAGTCCTGAAATGAGTCTGGGGTGTAATAAGAGTCAGGGGTCCATGGGTCGGTGGTCGCCATCTCCCCCTGTCGGAATGACCTTTTACCTAGTTTCTTCATAACTTGGCAGACATAGGCAGGTTGTTACAGTTAATTTTCTCTAATTTCTGTTAATCTTACCTTTGACATGCAAAACAATAAAGTATTATTTCAGGATTAATAATTATTGAACTATGTGGCCCAATGTGGTCTTGGTCTGAGACTTTACAGGTGAGCTCATAGCAGCATAGCTGGTTACATGGTGACACAGTGTTCCACAGTTACTTAAAACAATGTACGATTGTTCTCCAAGTTTTATAAAACTAATATGCTTATAAAATTCTATTTGGCTATTTAATTATGATCATTTTTATTATAAACCCCCAAATTAACTTAAATCAATAACAAATCAATGACAATCAGTAACAGGGCCATGCAGCAAGATGGGTACAGAGCCAAACAGCAGCTGCCTGGCCCTGGGGCTGGGCAGGGAGGGTGTCTGGCTGAGAGTCCTGCACCCAACAAAGTCAGGGTCTGTGTGCAGAGGGGGGCTGCGAGCTCCCACCCCCATGACGGACTCAGAGCTGCAGAGGAAACCATGCCCTGGTTGCGATGACAGCAACACCCCCTCTCTCTTTTGCAGGCTTGATCTTCCTGTTTTACTTCATTTTCTACACGTGCTTGGCAGGAATGTTTGCCTTTTGCTTGTACGTGATGCTGCTCACGCTGAGCCCCTACACACCTAGGTACCGGGACCGCGTGTCCCCACCAGGTACGTACCCCAGCCAGCCCGGCCTTGGGCACCCCGGTGGGCACCTGCCCGGCAAAGGGCTACCGAAACGGCGTGGCAGGGACCGGGGTGAAGCCCTGCTGGAGCTGGAGCTCAACCAGCCCTCCATAACCCAAGGTGTTAGAACTTACCTCGGGGCACTGACAGGGCTGCAGGTTCTTTGCAGAGGATCAGGCATCTTAAATATCTCCATGTGAAGCATTCATTCTAATTGTACTAATTGTTATACTAGTTATGCTAAATATTAGGCTAATTATTCTCAAGGTAAATGAGTGAGTTTAGGTATTTCATAGGTGATGCCCATTCATTTCAGTTGCTGCTCCTTTATACTCTGTATCTTCAAAATAAAATATAAATTAAGAGTAGCTTTTATGCATTATTAATTGTGGGAGTCCTGGTGAGATAACATTCAAAAACTCTTTTCCCTATGACAGAAGCAGCATTTTCTCTGTATTTTCATGCTGGTGGGGAACACACCACCACCTCACCCTGCTCCCTGCCAGAGCTGCCTGCACAGCTGGGAGCATGGGGAACCGCTCAGCTTCCATGTGCAGCCCCAAGCCCCTCTCTTCCCTGCAGTGTTGCTGAGACCCTCCAGGTGTCCCATGTTTCCTGGGATATTTTGATGTGCATGGTGTTCTCTGGGTGTGAAATGGAGGTGAGAAATCAGCGGGTTGAGGAAAGAGTTTATTTGTGAGCTGGTTCTACTGCTCTTGTGCCTGTGCCCAGCTCCAAGCCCAGTCGCAGTGCAAACAGCTCCTACAACACACGTCCCAAGCCTGTGGCCAGTCCACCCATGTCTGCTCTATTTCCTTCTCCAGGAGTAATGATCAGACCCTACTTGAATGGGTTCACCATTGCCTTCAACGTCTCTCAGCCCGGCACATGGCAACCCTACGTGGACAGCATGCACCACTTCCTAGCAGGTAAGCTCCTCGGCACCCCAGAAGTCATGATGGCAAGTTGTTTGCATCCATGCACACAGTGCAGGGGTCTCCTCCTGGGGTGCAGATCAGGTCTTGGCATCTCACGATCCCCATCTAGAAAGGGAGGCTCATAAGGTGGTCATGGAAACTTCTGTGGGAGGGAGTCTTGCCTTTCCAGTGGGACTTTCTAACCCCCTTGACACACGGATGTACTCTGAGAGTGTGGGTCTGTGCAGGTCTTGAGAAATGTTAACAAGTCTCTTGGTCCCCACCAGCTTATGATGACAAAGTTCAAGAGGAGAAGAATATTGAGTGCATCTCAGGACGGTACTTCATCCAAGGGGGCAATGAAAGTGAGGAGAAGAAGGCCTGCCAGTTCAAGCGCTCACTACTGCAGAACTGCTCTGGCATTGAGGACCCAACATTTGGCTACTCTAAAGGCCAGCCCTGCATCCTGCTGAAGATGAATCGGGTACAGAGAAAGCCAGACATATTAATTCCTTCCTTCAGTTCATCCCAGTGTCGTAAAGACCATGCAGGGCAGGGACTGAAACTCCTCCACTTCTCAGGCCCAGGGAAAAAGGGAACTAGAATCCCAAAACCTGATGGCTCATACCCACTAGAAAACATAAAAAAGAAACACTACAAGACTTGCTCAATTTGATTGCTGAGGCCTGAGTGCTTGAAGGGTCCTGTGCCAGTTCCCTGTGTGGGCAGAAATGAGCTTTAGGACTACACCTCAGACCCCAGTCTCTTTATAATGGGAATTTTCATAGAATCAGTTTTATCTGAAATCTTCTAACAGCATGGTGGCTCGGTGTATGCTGCTGCAAAAATAAATGTTGGGGGGATGTGTGGGGAAGTGGCTGTGTTGCTCCAGGGAGTCTGGGCTTTCTAGATGCTCTGGTCTGCCTCTGCTCTCACGCCCGGGCAAATTGCATTGCACATGGTGGCAGACCCTGCTTCTAGGGGCACGGAACTCCTGTCCTGCGCAACATGATGGCATGTAGAAGAGCTTAAGCCCTTGAGAAGGGAGGCGGCACATGCTTGGCACTGCATTTCATACTAGCATGGATGTCTTTTGTTTTTGCAGATCATAGGCTATCGCCCTGGTGCTGGGGTCCCTGTGAGCGTAGACTGCAAAGTGCAGGTACTGCTTTTGTTCGTGCTCGGCAGTGTGGTGTGAAGGCCAAGTCTCTCCCTCTGATGGACCCCGCTGATATCTGTCTTTGTTTTAGCCCCAAACACTCACAGACCCAGCGCTGCTGATGCCTCTGGGTGCAAGGAGGGACCAGTCCGCTGAGGACAGAGGCCACCAGTCCCCTGCTTCCCACCCTGCCCCTCATCCTCCAAGCGCTGCGGGCTCCTGCCAGCCTCAGTGGCAGCGCTCTGCTCAGCCCCCGCGGGCAGGGCTGGGTGCGGGGGTGCCCGCTAGAGCCTGCAGCTGGGCGGGAAGGGGCAGGGGCTGCACACATCCATCCCTGTGAGCTCTGCAGGACACTTGGTCCTGGGGAGCACCCTGCAAGCCAAAAGCAGTGGGGTGAAGGAAGGGCTCCCACTGCCCAGTCAGCAGCTGGATCATACCCTTAGAAAACAATAAAGCAGATGGCAGCCACAGGGAGGGATTGACAGCAGCAAATTCTGCAACCCTTGCCTGTGCCTTCATAGCAGTGTTTTCTGGCTCAGTGCAGCAGCAGCTGGCTCTCCCAGAAAAACACACTGCGTGCAGGCAGGCAGGCACAGCTGAGCCCTGTCGTGGATTTGCAAGAGCTGTCTGTATTAAAGCTCCTTCACCTTCCCCTGAAGGGAGCTGTATTTTCTCCATGTCCTATGCGTGTACCTTTTTTTTGCAATCACAGAAAGGCAACGAGAGCAATCTCAGATCAGTCGACTTCTACCCTGGAAACGGGACATTTGACCTCATGTATTATCCCTACTACGGCAAGCTCACGCATGTAAGTAAGGACTCTGGCATCTTTGTTAGGTCTCCTTGGGAAGGAGAAGCCAGGAGCTGCTGCACAGAGTACAGATGTGCTTTCTGGCTATTTTGGGCAGATGCAGGCAGGAGAGAGGCCATGGGCACTGGGATTACAGCACTCTATTTCTGTCTCTGACAAACTGCGGGAAATCCTTGGGGACTCCGGTTCCCCTTTGCCAGCAATGGAAATGATTACATTTATCATCTGGAGACTAAGAGTGGCTTTGCTAACTCCCAGGAAAAGGTCTGAACATCAGCATTTTCCCAGGGTGTTATGGAAGTCAGGGGTTAGGTGGCACAAGAGGAAAAGGATGGGGCTTCTGTCAAAGCTATGACAAAGCCACTTCAGGCTTGGGTGGCTCAAAACAGAGCAGTCCTACATTGGTGGCTATTTCTGAACATGCTGGCCAGCACTGCCTTGGTCTGTGCTGCGCTGTACAGCATTAGGAGGTAACGCACTTTCACAACAAAAGCTGAAATGGAAGATGAGGCAGGCACCAGACTCCTATTGTCATGCTGCTGCTGGCTGAGGATGAGTAATCGCCCCAGATGCCAGGTCTGCATGTCCTCTGAGCACACAGATCCAAGGGACACCACAGATTTCTTATTACAAGCTATAGGTCAGGTTTTAGAACAGCAGAAAGTATTTGAGAGTCCCATTATGCAGTGTTGCTTGTCCTGGCTAATCAACCCAAGAGACATGGTACAGTGCAAAACTCTTGATATGATTCCTGTCCCTTTGAGGCACAGCTTCAGCATCCCCAGGAACCATGATGGACACCAGGCAAATGCACGCAGATGCCTGGGAACCATGAACCAACTACTAATTATTTTTACTGAACATGAAAGCACTGCCTGCTTTTGCACTCCCTTAAAAGTTACACTTGAATCTCCCTTCTTTTCAGGTCAACTATACATCCCCACTGGTGGCCATGCACTTTACAGATGTGAAGAAGAATTACATGGTCCCTATTCAGTGCAGTCTGAATGGGAAAGGTATTATCAACAACGTTAACAGTGACCGCTTCCTGGGCCGAATTATCTTCACACTCAGCATTGGAAAGTAGCCACTACAAACACTGGGCACTTAGTTTAAGTCAATCAGAGGCTTTTTCCTTTTAAAAGCATAAAGCCAGCATTTTTTCTGCTAGGAAAAACAGGCACATGGAGATTTTTGTTAATTTATTTTTGTTCATAGTTAGGAAACAAATGAGATGCAATGGAGCGTGGAACCACATTTTTCATCATCTGATGTAAATCATTATTAGTAAAAATTAAAAGTTATCTCCTGGGCAGAGAACCTTCAAAAGCAGTTCAGTTTTGATTTATAAAAAAATCTCTGTTGTCTGAACACTATTTTCATAAGGTCTTTTACGAGTGACCCCTGTGGAATGCATTTTTCCTGGCCTTAAATTTTAATCTTTACCACAGTTTTATGTGCATTTCTCAGGCAAAAGCTAACAAGAGGGTAGTTTATTAGCACTGTTCTTGTTAAAATAATAAACAGCAAAACTTCTGGATTATGCCTGCAACAACACAGTTAAAAAGTGAAAATGTCAGAACTCAAAATGCCTCCTAGGATCTTCAGCTCCAGGAGCATCTTGACTGTAGCATTTTACACAGCATTGTTCAGCACACCCAAGGTGTTGGAGCAAAGGCCATGTAGAAAATCATCTGCCCTTGAACCTTTCCAACTGTTCCTTTCTGAAGTGGGAAGTTTAATGCATTTCTCCCTCCTCCTCCTCACTCCAGTACTTCTCTCTGCTCCAGGAATTCTCATCAAGTCTATTAAGCAGGACAAGTGAAGGGAGCTCTTCTTGCCCTGTCATGTTTGCAGGTCAAGGGCTCCTCCTTCCCCTGGTCAGGCATGGAAGTGCCAGTGAAATATGTTAGACCCCACCAAATATTGGGGCCTGTTCTTCCCTGTTCCAGAGAGGTCACAGTTATAATGCTGCAGGAAAGGCTTAGTCGTTTCATCGTAAGGGGCCAATGCTGGTATTAATCATAATCATGAGTTTATCATCCTCAAGGACTTATGAAGCACACCCGCCCTCATCAAAGCAGGGTGCTGCTAGCCTGAGCAACCTCTGCTGGGCAGACAGCCTGACCCTTCCCAGCCCGTCAGCACAGAGCCCTCCTATCTGACAGAGATGGACTACACTCTGAGAACACAGCAGGACAGGACACCTTAGGATAATGTACTAGTTGGAAAGCACACTTACTAAAATTACTGACTGAACAAGAGCATTATGGTATGTTTGTCCTACATCCTAGGCCAGGTACTTCATCTGCCATCATTTCCTGATCTATATAAGTTTAAGAAGTCATTTTTTGTATTAAGAATAAAGCTACTACAGTAAAATTAACTCTACGGTACCATTCTTAAAACACTGGTGTAAGAGATGCAGCCTGGGGCTTTAGCTCCCTGTGCTGGACGGTTAGGGACTGAATGTCAAAGCAGCATGTAATATGATCCTGGAATTCTGAGCACTTGGTTAACCTCTGGGGCCAAAGAGTTCAGAAGCCCAGTACAGTAAGACTCACCCTGCACTAAGTATCACAAACAACCAGGAGGCAAAACCTACTTATTAAAAATGGTTAAAAACCTAAAGCAGAGGTAGTTTGGGAACTAATTCTGTTCAGATGTGGTTATTCATATGACACTGACAGAACTAGGGCAACCTGATGGTTCTGCATGCACAACTCATCTGAAAGGGCATGTTCTGATCAACAAAAACTGGCTTCTGCCAATGATGCTGCTGCTGGGGTGGTGGCTCTTCCTTTACCATCAGAAATAAGTTAAACCCATGAACAGTTCTTTTAAATTTGTATTTCCATAGGATTCTGAAAGGAAACCAAACCCCTCATGCTTCAGGTCATGAAATTAACAGCCCTCCAGCTAGCCACAGGACAAAACTTTGTATCTAATCCGTACCTGCCTAGGGGAAGGATTTATGAAGCAGCTGGTCCTTTAGCAGACACTGGACCCATGCTTTGACCAAATCAACAAAGAAAGATCAACTAATTGGGATGTAAATACATGAGCAGCTTAGAAGCCAAAGTTTGTTTCCCAAACCAACATTCAGATCTGGTCACATTGGCAATCCACATTGGTGGAAAAGCTCTCAGAAATTGCATGAATGTCTATTTACACTAAAACAAAGCTTCATAAATACTACAGGTAGCTTTATTTTCCAGACACGTATTCTGCTTTCAGAATATCTGTACAGTCATTTCAAGATTTGGAGAATTGTATACACCAGTCTTCATGCTACAACCACCTTAAAGTGCTGGCTCAATTTTTTGACTTCTACTGAAGCCAAAATAATACTTTATATGTATATATAAAATATATATGTGCATTTAGCAAATTGCCATATTTTACTAAAATAACCTAGCAAAAGTGAGGCAAAATACTTTGATCTGCAATCTGAGCATGAAACCATGGATGGAATCCATCTGCTGGCAGCAGAGAAGCCACACATTCTGACAAGCAGGTGTTACTGCAAAATTGCCATTCTCGAAATAATTCACCATTTACCACTGTGGCAGGGAAATCAAGTATTGCAAGAACAAAGGTACAAGACAAAAGACCAAGACAAACAAGCCCAAAGCACACAGTCCAACTCAGCAGCATTAAATTACACTCCTAAAAAATAGGACAACATGGCTCAGGAGCCCATTTGTGGTACAAAAATCAGTTTTGTCAGATTCAGGCAAAGCTTATCTTTGGTCAGAGTGAGAACAGGAATAATTGAACATACAGGTATTTCTCAAACATCAAAAAACTAACTCTTTAGAAATCTCCCTTCCCTGAATTGTGAGGCTATTGTGAGTTACTTGGTAAGATCAGTGTTGACCAGCTCCTTTGTGTATGTGAATTACAGAAGGTGCTTTCCCTATGACGCAGATACAGGCTCAATGCACAAAGAGATTAAATATTAAAGCAGCTTTAGTAAACACTTGTTGCAGAGGACAGAAGCTTGTGTGGTGTCAGTAGCTCTCTGCAGACCTGGCCACTCTTTAGCTGTCCCACAGCTGGAAATTGGGGTTCACCAGCTGCAAGATGTACCAGAGAGGTTGAAGGACCAAGAGGCTTCTTTCATCCTATCAACATGAACCTGGTGGGAATGAAGGTGAACATAACCACAAACAACTACCTTCTATTTTGGTACGGTTTAGATATAAAACAGAATCGCAAAGGGTATAGCATTAATAACAAAGCAAGCATCTTCAAACAAGTCAGATGCTCTTACTCCTTCGGAAGTCACTTTCTTCACTACATTTATATATTAGTTTCTCCTTTATGACCAGCATTCCTCATATTAGAAATTTTATGCTCTTACACTATTCAACTATTATTTGAGAGAGCAGTAATTAGGAGGTTAAAAGCAGATTAATTCTATCAAAACAGAATGGTTTTATATCTTCACTTGCATTCCTAGATCACAGCTTTTCAGAGATCCCCTGTTAATCCAGGAAAGTTGTCCGAAGGAACTGCAGGAATCTCTGAACAATCCATCTTCTTAGTCAGTCTTTGAGAGCTCTCAAAATACTCTTGAACCTCACACGGACCAGTGCTGAAACGCTGTGTAGTTTCTTTTATGTTCACAGAAAAGAGGAGACAAACTGCAGCTGGTGAGATTCCAGCTTCCCACCCTTGTTTCAAAATTGAGCTCAGAACAAAAGGGAAAACACAGTCAAACAGAATAGCAGAGGACACATTTCTTTTAGCAGACTGTTGGCTTTTTTAAGTAGTGAAAGTTCTCCAGGACTGAGCCTTATCTTCACAAATAAAGACATTAAAGACATCATGCTAGTACAAAGCTATTTAACATACATTAGAAATCAAATTCTCCATACTGATGTTAAATTAATTATCAGAAGAATCAGATGTTCTTCTTACGATAGTTTATTAGTGAGATCAGGTACTAACTTTACATTCAGAAGGAATAGGAAATTCAGACTGATTCACAAGAACAAGCTGCTAATGAAAAAAGACAACAGCCATATGCCAAGTTCCCAGTAGAAATCTGTTAAGAGCTTGGTATTCATTTTCCCATAGCATTCACACCTTTAATTATGGGTTTTAGCTTTAGCATTATCTGAGATAAGCTGTATGCAACTAAAAGTTTTCTTGTATAAAAGGATTAAACAGAAAGTTTTATAGAGGTCTTTACTCAAAATAATTGCATTTCTCACATGGACACACATCTGGTTCTCAGAACACTTTCTCCAAAATCATACAATAGCTTCAAGTAATTCTGCAACTCATCTTCAGACTCAGGGCATGTTACTCTGTCATGAAGTGTGTTTTTAATTTTTTTTTAATAACTAAACTATGAATTCATTTGGTCTTCTTTTTAAGAGGGCAGATCAGGAAGTCTGGGAAAAGGACAAGAGCAGGGAAGGTGGCAACTGAGACGGAATTAAGAGATTATACAGATTGATAGCCAGTACGACTTTTTCTTCTTCCAATGATATAAGATATAAAGACAAGAATGATAAGGAAGCCAAGTGCCATGCCCACTGCGATGGGAATAAGAAAGTTCAGGTCAGAATCAGCAAAGCATTCTTCGGCTGCAGAAAGAAGAAAAACAAAAAAAAAAGCAAGGGAGAATAAATTAGTAAAGGAAATCAAGTATTAGAAACCAAAGAAAGCAAGGAGCAAACAGACTTTTTGAGAACTCGAACTGTTATAGATACAATAATGCATCTAAAGTAAAATCAGTATTGAGTAAAGAATTGAAGATAGATTGATTTCTTTAAACATATATAATACACACATAATTGATATTGGTAACATCTTCCCATCTGATGTTTAATTTCATTCCTCTAGCAAGCAGATGACTCGGATTAGAAATGCGAGGACAAAACAGCAGTCTGAGCACACATTAGCTGATCACACCTCGGAGTTATCAGCAATATACCAACAGAAAAAAGACAGACTGGTGTATTACTCCTTGTCTGAGTGACTTGCCAAACCCTCAAGTCACCAGCACTTCTCTAGGTTCCAGACACAAAGAGAACTAACAGACAGCAAAGCACGTAACAGAGTAGAAACTACAAGAGACAACCAAGACACATATGCTGAAAGCACTGAATGGAAAACACTGAAAAACTCTTTGGGTTGGTAACTTTATTTATTTTCAATCCAAATACAAAAAAGGGTTATCAGTTTCAGCTAAGAACTATACAGCCATTAACTGAAATCAACATAGGAGAAAAACAAGAGACAGCTGTAATGCTACAGTGGTTTTTAATATACAGGCTGTAAAATATGTGAAGAACTCCTTGCTGATACAAACACTCCTGCAAGGATTACCAAACACTGGGAATTGATTTCAAACTCAGGGATACACCCTAGACACAGAGGCAGGGCTTGGCATTTTTTCTGGTTTGTAAAGAGAGCCAAGCTCCACCTGTGTGGTGCCGAGATGTTTAGTGAGATATGATACAGTGTCTGTGCACTGCTCCAACACTGTAAGGGTCCTTAACTTACATGTTTTTAATAAAGCAGAGCTCCTTATAAAACTTTTTCGCTTGACCTTATATTAGAGCAGAGTTAAGTGTCACACATACATTCAATGCTTTCTCAAAAGTTAGCTACTGTTTTAAGCAAATATTTAAACCATTTGAGCTAACTGAATTCTAACTGAATCAGCCCTGGTTATGGGAAGTTTATGGTCTTGATTTAGTTCACTACAGTCCAGTCCACATGAAAGGCTATACAGAGCCTTTGGCTAAAAGGAAAGAAAACAACACATGGAGGGGGAGGTTCAGCACTGAAAACAAACTCAGGCAAACTGAGGGCACCTACTGCCAAGTAGAGCAACACTTGAAAGGGAAAAAAGAGGAAATATGTACCTTATACACTGAGCTATGTCAAAATATTCTGACTACTGAGAAAGTATTTAAGCATCTTAAAAAGATAACTGCGTTTGCTTAGTCATCTTCGTTCACGCTTCGATCAGCGTACACAATTTAACTACTACATGCTGGATAATGGGTCATTAATACTAAACATGAATTAATTTGCTAAGGTGAAACGTGCCCAGCAGGCAGTGACAGAAATTCCCTTTCTCTCTTCCTTAAAGGAAGGGGGCACTGCAATACCCACCCTGCTATGGCACTGTTACAAGGAATTCCCAGGGTAAAAAGGGTTTAGTTTCATACCAGAAACATTCCATCCTTTACCTCTCTCTAGTTTGCCACTGTTGTTGGCACACATTTATCCACGTATTGTCTCTGTACAATGGTTACAAGCTTCAGAGAACTGTCTTCAAATGCAGAACCTGGTAACTGTACAGCACAAGCAGACTCCACATTCCAGCCAGGAGGAATAGCTTTTATGGCATATTTGGTTGAATGTGTCTCCGTTCAAAATAATCAGAAATTTTGACTCCCAACGTTTTTAGCCCCAGTATAAAAGCTATCTTCCTTTTTAATTTCAATCATGAGATGCAACCCATGTTTCTTAAAAACAAACCTGGTTTTACTGGTATACGCTATACAATAGAGAACACTGTGGCAAATTAAAAAAAGAGGTGGTGTTCATTGTCTGGAAAAGCTTCTTTTGAGGGCTACTGGCATGGCATCATTAAGCTAGAAGATCAGAAATCTTGGTATCTTTGAGCACAATTTTAATATTCAGTAAACTGTATATAAGGCACAGACAATACTAATCAAAACAAACTGCAGTCTATGGTATATTATACCTATTAATATTCAACATCCACAAGAACACACAAGTGAAACGCTGTTTCCACAGACCAGAACAAAATTATTTTGATTCACATAATGCCACTGCATACCTGTAATATTCTGAAATTAGAAGGGCAGTATTTCAGAAGATTAGGAACTAGAATATACTCACAAGTCGTTAGGTTCAAACAAACCGCAACAATACATTCTGTATCACTTCTTAACCAGGTTTGTTTTTAACAAACCATTTGCCTGACTTGGCAAGCAAGCTGTCTTTTGATTTTTTTTTTTTTTTAAAGTTAAATTTCCTCATTTTAAAACTATTTGTATCCAGCATTACAGCATTTCTTGTAACCAACAAAGCCTGTACTAGAACAGCTAATCCCCCTAAACCCGCTCCTACTGCTACTAGTGCCATGAAGTTATCTACCTCTGGGCTGTGGTCTTGAGATATCAAACATCACAACAGTCATAATTCCATTATATACTTTCTTGGAAAGCATGTATCTGCATATTACTGTAGATTTATCATTACTGTACACCACAAAATCCAGACTTCCAGTGTCTAGCTACTCACTGCAAGTCTCCAAGAGAGACAACAATACTGGAGATAGTATTAAAGTAAAAACAGTAATGCTTTGACAAAAAAAAAAAAAAAAAAAAAAAAAAAAAAGTCTTTACACTTACTACAGGATATCAGTAACTCCTGCTTGTTCCAAGTTTCATCAGACTCTTGCAGACTGACTTGTACTCACAATTTGACAGGAATTTGATGCCTGCAGTCCCACTGGAGTTTAAATTCATTGTGACTGATTTACATCCTTAGGAACCCCACTGTTAAGCTCTTTAACAAGAGCCTATTAAAATATTTGCATTTTTCTCCACACTAAAAAAGCTTCAGCTGACACTTCAGAAAGGTGCTAACTTTATCTGCTACACAAAGTCAGAATAAC